CCACTCATGGGACACAAACAGACATATCGCCGTCGCAAGAAGGACGCCGACTGTTTCCTGAAGAAGGAGTTCAAGGACCCGATTCCCAAGACTGAGGACTGCGAGTGCTCCGACGCGGATTTTGAGTGCGACTACAACTTTATTCGAAAGGATGGCGAATGCGAGAAGGCTGGACCGATAGTTGCCCCCGATGAGGCTTGCAAAAACGCTGGCCCTGACACCAGTTTCAAGGGATCTTCGGGCTGGCGCTTGATACCCGGCAACACGTGCAAGCGAAAGGACGGCTCGCAGAAGGATGACCCGGTTGACAGAAAATGCTCCGACGTTGTCAATTCCCCGGCGCCACCTGCAAGTGGAGATATCACTGCTACACAGCACATTTTCAAAGATACCAAGCTCAACGACTTTGAGAAAATCTATCTTGAGCGCGGCGACTCGAGCTCCGACTCGGACGAGACCGTCATTGCAAGGGCAGTTGAGTATGAAAATGATGGTTCGATGAGGGTCGAGCAGCGCGTGTACCGCACGCGGGACCACGGCAAGAAGTGGGACGAGATCTTGGAGAAGGAGGAAATTAGGGGCATCTATCCTCACCAATATTTCAAGGACGCCGTTTTCTTCACCACCAAGTCGAGGAAAGTTTGGTACACGATCGACCGTGCCGAGCACTTCCACGAGTTTGAGGCTCCTTCAGACCCCGGCTCCGGTAACCCACTGTCGTTCCATCCTGACAAGAAGGACTGGCTCATCTGGGTAGGCCAGAAGTGCGAGAAGGTGGACGGTAAAGAACAGTGCTTCAAGGAGGCCTCCATTTCCAGGGACCGAGGCGACAACTGGCGGACGGCGCTGCGTTACGTTCAAAAGTGCGAGTTCACCGGCCGCTCCACCTACAAGTTTAGAGATATGCGGCAGATTGTATGTCTCACCCACAAGCGTGAAGACAATGAATCCGACAACCCCAAAGTTATCGTGTCGAGCAATGACTTTTTCGAAGAAGATAAGCAGGTGCGCGAGTCGAACGTCAAGGACTTTGCGACTATGGCCGAATTCATTGTTGTCGCAGCCGAGGACAAGGAGCAGAAGGGACTTCGAGCGCTGGCCAGCCTTGATGGTGAAACGTATGCCGCAGCTCATTTCCCCTACAACTTTGAGGTGTCTCATCAGAACGCATACACCGTCCTTGACAGTTCTACGCATGCGGTAAACCTGTTTGTGGCTACTCAGTTGGAGAAGAATCAGCGCCAGGGCAGTATTCTCAAGAGCAACTCAAACGGCACGTCCTATGTCATGAGCGCTCCGAAGGTCAATTGCGACAACAATTACTTTGTCGATTTCGAGAAGATTATTGGGCTTGAAGGCGTCGTGCTCATCAACTCGGTGACGGGCAAGGACAAGAAGGGCAACAAAATCCTGCGCACTGAGATCTCCCACAACGATGGATCGCAGTGGGCATATCTCCCGCCGCCCAAAGCCGACGTCAACGGCAAGGCATACGGATGCAGCAGCACTTATGGTGACGAAAAGTGCGCACTTCACCTCCACCACTACACTGAGCGTCTCGACAAAAAGAAGACATTCTCAGCCGCCAGTGTGGCTGGTCTCATGTTTGGCTACGGCAACATTGGATCGAGCCTGGGTCCGATCGAGGAGGCAGATACCTTTATGACGACGGATGCCGGCATCACATGGAAGAGCGTCAAGAAGGGCGCCTGGACATGGCAATATGGCGACCAGGGTTCCATTGTCGTTTTGGTGCCGCGTTCGACCGAGGACAAAAAGGCCAAGACCAAGTCTATCTCGTACACGACCAACGAGGGCAAGGACTGGAAGGACTTTGAATTCAGCCAAGAGGAGGTCACGATACTCGATATCACCTCGATTCGTACTGGCAGCTCGCGCAACTTTCTCCTGTGGTGCAGGTCAAGCGATGGCAAGACCTTCTCCGTCAATCTTGACTTCACTGGCTTGACGGATCGTCCCTGTGTGAACCCGGAGAGCGGAGACTCAGACTACTACCTCTGGTCGCCCACGCACCCTCTCCAAGACAATGAGTGGTCTATTCGACCATGTCTTCCAAGTACCTCCGCGAAAGGAAAAGACCGCAAAATGATACAACGATCAATCGAATCGAGCATCTCTATGCCATCAGCAACTGCACCTGCACGAGGGCCGACTATGAGTGGTACGTTACATGATACTTCTAGTCTACTAGCAAGGGCTCCACCATACTAACATGAACACAGTGACTACAACTTTGAGCTTGACCCCCATAAGCAGTGCAGCCTCGTGCCCGGCAAGAAGCCTCTGTCCGCAGAGCAGTACTGCAAGGAGAACCCGGACGCCGTATCTTACTACGAGCCGACAGGCTACCGCCGCATTCCTTTGACAACGTGTGTCGGCGGCACGGAGCTTGACAAGATATCCGAGGCCCACCCGTGCAAGGGCAAGGAAGAAGAATTTGAAAAACTACGCGGCACATCGGGCGTTGCCATTTTCTTCGCCATCGTCATACCCATCGGCATCGCGGCCGCCGTCGGCTGGTGGGTGTGGCGCAACTACGGCAGCCAGTTTGGGCAGATCCGTCTCGGTGAGTCGAGCGGTTTTGACAATGACGCGCCGTGGGTCAAGTATCCCGTTATCGCCGTGTCGGCGGCCGTGGCCGTCGTGGCGGCCCTTCCGCTGCTCGGCTCGGCGCTCTGGCGGACGGCATCGTCAGCGTATGAGCGGGTGAGCGGCGGCGGCAGCGGCGGCGGCAGCTGGCTTAACGGCGGCGGGCAGAGGCGGTTTACCACGAGAGACAGTTTTGCACGGGGGCGCGGGGACTATGCATCTGTTGACGATGACGAAGGCGAGCTTCTGGGTGACGACAGCGATGAGGAGGTCTGAGGGGGTGAAAGAGGAACGACGAGGACAGGACTACGCGAGGGGATGGCTGGAGGGAACTGTTCGCTGTCCTAGATGCAGCGCTGGTTTGTTTTCACTACTGTACGTACTATGGAAGAGTTGATGACGTTTGGATAGGCCGCAAGGTGGACGGACATTATGTAGAGCGTATTCAAACCTGGATGACTTGCACAACCACGTTCCCTCCATCCCCATAGCTGCCACTACCTGACCGCAAGAAGCCATCATGTTGCTCCGTGTTTACCAATTGAGCCGGGGAACGGGGGGGCGGGCAGGGGGCCATGGTACCTTG